GGAGGATGAGGCCCAGAAATCAGGATTTTAAAAAGATTCCCAGGTGATTCTAATGTGCGGCCAAGGTTGAGAACCACTGACTTAGGCAAACATGCAAGCTATTATACCTTAGTGTACACATTCCCTGTACAATCACTGGTGAAGCATAAAATATTAATAGGCATTCAATAATTATAGCTTTCTCATGTGCCGTATTATTAAATTTAGAAATAGCCTAAAATTAGTTGTGCACTATGCACTCCTGACACTGCAGTGACTCCAAAAACCCTCTGAGACAATGCCAGTTCCTTTGGCTATTCTGGGCGCTGTATGTAGGTTTGTTACAGGTACTAGGTTTTCTCCTTGGAAAGAATGTATGCATTCCCCATTTCCTTTACCCCGCCCTGGGAGGAAACACGAGCCACATGGATATGCCTCATTTCACTTCTGCTCTTCCAATAGCTCAGTGCCATGGTTTAGCTACGATGCCTCACCACACTCCCTCCCACACCTCCTGCTTCCTGGGTTGAACATATTCTTGAGAATTATATAAGGTTCCCTTATAGTTGTGATGCAGTCTAGTTCCAAGAACACAAACATCTTCCTATTTCTGAGTAGATTTAACGAGTGAGATGTTTCTCAAAGATATTCATGAATTCTGATATAATTAATGGGAACACTTAATAAGGACACAAATGGCTTAGGGCTGTCATGTGATTCTTGTGTACAATGTACATTTCTTTGATTTCAAATGCAATCAGAGAAATAAGAAAGAAAACCATTATTTAACTTCCAAGCTGACAGTATAATATAATGACCAATTTAGGCATCATGTAAATGACCAAAGATGTAAAAGTAGTACTGGTGCAGTTATGGTCTTTGTATTTATACTAAAACCATTACAATGAGGCACAAAAACTGAGATGTGGGTGGTGGTGTTGAGGGGGTAGCAGCTGTTATTTTGACTTCAAAGGGAGTGACTGAACATCATCTGGCTTGTGGCTGGTCATGTGATCAAGGTTGGCATTAGCATTATTGTACCTGTTTTAGGAGTGGAGCCCAAGCATGTGCATTTTTAAAAGATTCCAACAAGATTTTAATGCAGCCTCAGGTGGGAACTACATCATGGAATCCTGGGGTCATCTACCTGCAGTTGCTTTGATGACACACTGGGCTAGTCAGGGAGTCTTTACTAACATTTTAGAGGAGAAAAGTCATTTGTATGGGTACCTTTGTAATGCTGAATCAAAATGTGAGGAAAATGGGAGTTAGAATGAAGGCAAGGACTGAAGTTACTATCTTGGGTGCAAAATAAGGAATCTACCTCAAAGCAGATGCCCAACCAATACAAGACAGCCTGTAGTTTGGGAAGTCTCCATTCTCTAACTCTTGCTGTTTAGGTGAAGGCATCATTACCTTATATCTTCTTCTATTTTTGCCTGAGCTTCAAGATCAAAAGGGTCAGCAGAAAAGAGACGAATCCTTTCTTGCTCTCTCCGGGCTCGGTCCTGCTGCTGCTCCACCAGGACCCTAGTAAATTTCTCTACAAAAGGAGGAAAATCTTAAGTACCACTAGATTTTCATTCCTTACTAGTACTTTCCCACATCAGACAATTTCTCAAAATATGACTGTAAGAGATACAGAAAAGATGCCTAAAAAATCATTTTTTGTTTCTGACTCCTTTCCCCCCTTTTTAATGAATGTATTGGGATGATACTGGTTAACAAAATTGTACATGTTTCAGGTGCAGAATTCTACAAGGTGCCTAAAAATAAATGAGCAATTACATTTACTTTCTATTCTCTGAGGCAAGACTATTTCTTCACCTAAATTCAGTGTAAAGAAATAAAATATTTGGAAAAATCATTTAGTCTTGTAAGAAGTTATCCATCACATCATCTCTACTCAGAGAGAACGACTTCTCAATTTAAATCTGGAAAATGCTATAAAGGACCCCACTTGTCCCCTCCCCACTGCCCTTATTATTCTTTTGGCTAGAAATAAAATAGAGCGCTACAAACCCCCTTTCCTCTTCTGGTTTCATTTCCTTTATAACAATCTGCCTTAAAGCAGACAAATTAAATGCAAACTACTGTTAGCCTATCTACATTACCTGATGGGTAACAGACAGGAATATTAGTAAAGAGGAAAGATTGCTTAGTATAAGATACATTACAAAAATCACCTTTATTTTGCTATTTCTTAAATGGGGGTGCACTTAAATGTGTAAACTTAACTGTGCCATCATCATGGTCTTTGACAAATATGCTGCATAAGAAATTAAAGGAACCAAGATACTGGTCATATGAACTAATACTCACGATATAGATGAATCTATAATTATTAAGTTGAGCGAAAGAAGCCTGACATGAGAGGACATACTGTATGATTCCATTTACATGAGGATCAAATATAGGCAAAATTAATTTATAATGATTATCAGAATATTGGTAGCCTATAAGGGGAGGAAACTGAATGAAAGAGAACATAATGGAACTTTCTGGAAAGAAATGTTCTAGTTCTTGATTGGGGTGGTGGATATATGAGTCAGCCAAAACTCGAACTGTATACATAAAATCTGTGAATTTCTCTGTAGGTAAATATTACTTCAATTTACAAAATGGTTAAGAAATGAGTTGTTAAGTATCTGTTATGTTTTAAAATTTAATCAGGACAGTTTCGTAAAATGGGAGCAATTTACAGAGAAAACTTGACTCATGAAGAGGACTAAAAATAAATGTTCTGTGAAATGAAAGAATGGCTCAAGTAAAGCTCCAAATAGACTGCTGGTAACAACCCCCTCATTAAACTTGGCGTGGATGAGAGTAAGGGGGTTCAATTTGCCACACAGGCCGAAGGCCTCAGACCTGTTTCCTGTAACTAACAAGCATCAATAGGCTTATTGGCGCTCTCTTTAATCGAAGGTCTAACTAAACAGGTTAAAATATCAGTACCTGGATTATGTGCTGCTGAAATAATTAGGAAAAAAAAGAGTAAATGGAAGGGGCTGGTTTAGCTGGACTTCAGGACTCTATGCAGCCCTAAAATTTTGTCACCACTGTCATTAACTCAGCCTTCAACATTAGCACTAACTTACCTCTCATAGACCAACTGATATGTTCAAAAACTCATGTGCCATAGTGGGCTGAACACACTAGTTGCATCCCATTCTCCCCACCTGCTATGATACACTACTTCACCTCAGGTCAACTTGACAGCCTTTCAGATTAACTTACCGAGATCTCCACTGAGCAGAGCATCTGCCAGGGGCGGGTTGCGTTCCTTCAGCAAGGACAGCTCATGGGGGTTGGCCAGCAACATGTCTCGGAGCAAGGCTGGATTGTCCAAGCCCTGCGGAGATAAAGCTAGTTCTCCGGGAGATGAGTGGGACTGCTGTGCTCCGGGTGGCTGCCGCTGCCGGGAACTCGAGGTGCCAGGCACAGATATACTGCGGAAGTCTATTCGGGGTAAGTCTGTTGAGGAAAAGTGATTGTTTACTTTAGACGATCTATGAAAACAAGCATCTGACGGAAACAGAACATGTGCTCATACACGGTATATAACATAGTAAGTGGTGATCGCAGATATACTATGGCCCCTCCCTTGCTCCAGTTTCTCATGTTGACTTTGAATATAAAGACTGCAGCCTGAGAGTGAACAGGCAGGAAAAATACAAGGAGAGGGGGGAGACTATGGTAGTAACCCCAAATTTTTGGCTTATAAAATATCATAAAATAGATGTTTTTGTTTTTAAAAGAAGTAAAGCTAGTCTTAAATGTAACTACAAAAATTGATGTCGTTCTTAAGGAGAACCGTGGGTCTGCTTTGAAATATGCTCTGAGGACCCCGACACCCTGGTAAAGAATACTATACATATCAAGCGCACAGCACAAATGACCGATGTTAAATCCTACAAGCCTGTGTTGTACATAGTAGGTCTTTGTCCATCCGTGCCTCACTGATAGCCACGGGGAGCTCGCAGGTGTAATCATTTTACGAGAGAGAAAAACAGAAGAAAAATAACGTGCACAGGTTCCCAGTGCTGAGTACACTAACAGACATAACAGGTCCTACACTCCAGGTTGAGCTGACTTATTAAACTAAAAGTAAAAAGAAAGGGAGCCTTACACAAAGGACCCAAATATTGTATGATTCTATTTATATGGAATATCCAGAATAGGAAAATACACAGAGACAGTGGACCAATGGTTGCCAGGGCTGGGAGGCTTGAGGGAAGATAAAGAATTACAGGGTTCCTTTTTAAAGTGATGAATGTGCTATAACTGATTGTAGTGATGGTTGCACAACTCTCAATGTATTAAAAATTATCGCATTGTATCCTCCAAATGAGAGAATTGTGTGGTATGTGAATGATCTCAATAAAACTATTACTTAAAAACTTTTATTTTTTAAAAGGAAGAAGAAAAGAGAAGTAGAGCCAGAATGAGGGGCGAGGACTGAATAAATCCACATTTCTCCAATCACAACATGCAGATGATGGTCACACTTGTCCTAAGCCTGGGGCTATCCTGAAGCCTTTTGGACCTCAAATAGGAGGAAATGCTTAAACTTGGGCATAAGGTTTGTGTCTCTTAGCATGGGTCCAACCAGTCACTTTCTTCAACTAGACCTCAGCTGGCAGTTAGTAGTGTATGTGTACGAACTTCCAACCAATGAAAAGGTGAAGTGAATGGCATGATCTTTGTGAGGGAAACTATACCAATTAGCAGAACACATATGGGCGGGCCTTCTTTGTGGGTTGAGAAATTTTACCTCCAACCCTGTTACACTTATCTGGAGAATCTGTTCACTTTAGAAAAATTTTGAAAAACTTGTTTACCTTGTAGACCAGATCCCATTCTCTCCCTCACCTAGTGGCTCTCTTGTCCATATAGGGCAGTCCAGAAAAAACCAGCTACGTTTCCAGAACTAACCATCTCACCAACTTATTCAAAGGAAGATTTGGTTTTCAATGACTGGCATATTGGAGCCACTACTCTTTCTGAAGTTTACCAGCAGCCCCAGGGAGTAATGTGATCCAAATCCGGGAGGAACCCTGCCAGTGATCTCTTCTAGCCCAGTTCCAGGCTGAATGGAAGCACTGTGCTCTAAGCTAGAGACTGGCATCACCTGGACACCTATCAGTTGTTACCATCAATTTTAAAACCAAGTGACCTGGAGAATAAACACTGTTTAAAGAAGCCTATCAGGATATGATAGGGAGTGGAGAAAAACTCATACATCTCATCAAGTAGTTCCACATCAGAACCTTATAATAAACTTTGGTAGATCAAAAACCCCTTTGAGTACCTTAAGCAAGTTATGAGCCCTGTCCCCATGAAATGCCCACACCCTCACAATTCTGCTTCTTATTTCAGGGACACAGAAACCTCTTAAATTCAATGCACAGATTCAAAATTATAAACACCTACCCTGGGTGGAACACCTAAGATAAAGAATCCTTTCTTCTTTTTACATGATTAACGGAGGCGGTGAGAAAGAACCAGAAGTTAGTGGTTTAGCTGCTTACTATTCATAAAGTTCAGTATAATAGAAAAGCACCGAGTCTTAATTCCTATGCCTTCCCTTATTAGCTATGTAACTTGGAAGACATAATTGAAAATCAGAGTTTCAGCTCTGGCTAGTGTGGCTCAGTTGGTTGGAACATCTTCCCGTGCACCAAAAGGTGGTGGGTTTGATTCCCAGTGAGGACACATACCCAGGTTGCGGGTTTGATCCCTGGTCAGGGCATATCTGGGAGACAACCGATTGATGTTTCTCCCCCTTTCTCTCTCCCTTCCTCTAAATAAATAAATAAATAAATAAATAAAATCAGAGTTTCATCTGTTAATGATAATAAATTGTAAAGAGCAATCTCTTCCCTTACATCCGAGTTAGATCACGTGAGTACCTGGCTGACTGCAAAGACCTGCTACTGAACCCCAGACACAACGCAGCATGTCAGTCAGCAATCAGGCATGTGGAGCCTCTCCAAGTCCTTCCCAAGGACAAAATTATCATTGATAACAACAGAAGCTAACATTGAGGGCTTGCTATGTGCTGAAGGTTCTACAAGCATTATTCTCACATCAACTCTGGGAGTTGAGTTCAAGGGGCAGAGTCAGGATCTGCACCCTAGTAGTCTGAATCAAAAGGGAATCCAAAACTCTGACCACTACCCTATGCTACCTACTCATGCTTGTGTCGAGGATGCTAACCCATTCCGAGGAGATGTCTTACTTGGAAACTGTGAAGGTCGAGGGTCCACATTCTCCTTCTGTCGTAAAATCACGACATCTCCATCTTTCAAGCCGTAAGAAGCCAGAGACCTGTGGTTGTCTGTGAGAGGTCTTTCAGCATGGACAATCTACAACCAGAAAAGATGTCACAGTACAAAGCACGGAGAAGTACCACGGAGCAAGGGAGACCAGGTTTCCTCTTCATCAGATAGTGTCACTTCCTGCACAACCCTCCAACGGTTTCCCATCACACCTAGAATAAAGCCAGTCCTTCTCACCACCTCTAGGCTCCCTCTGACCTGATCTCACACCACGATTGCTGTTTCTCAAGTAACGACTTCCTCTCAAGGCCATTCCACTTGCTTTCTCACTACCTGAGGAATGTTTTTTCCCGTCATTTTTAGGTCTCTGATCAAACATTACCTTTTCTTTTCTTTCTTTTTTTAAAAAATTAAATCTTTATTGTTCAGATTATTACAGGTGTTCCTCTTTTTTTCCTCCCATAGCTCTCCTCCACCCAGTTCCCACCCCACCCTCTGCCCTTACCCCTCCCACTGTCCTCATCCATAGGTGTAC